CAGCACCCAGCCGTTAAATTTTACAGGATGAGAAAAAAAAATAAAACTAAAGTGGCTGATAAGGGTGCTGGACAAGTCTCAAATCCGCAAAGAACGAACAAGGTAGACAGGAGTCGTCGGCAGGAGCAGTATCAATACGAAGTCGCACAGTATAATTATTACAATAAAAGAAAAAAAGTTGTGCAAACTGTTATGAATGCCGATGCTCCTAAGAGGTGTCCTATAAAGATGGCCGATATCGAAAAATATTATAAAGACCTCTTTGAGAGCGAAAATCTCTGCAGGCGTGCGGATTACGAGCAGTGTGCCCCGATGCCAAATTTAGTGTCCATTGATGTAGAAACCGTCAAGAAAGCCATTAAATCAACATCAATGGACACATCGCCGGGGCCTGATGGAGTTCTGATCCGCACGATTAAATATTTTGATGTTGCAAATATTATTAGAACAATTGCGGAGATAATGCTGAAGGTGGCCTATGTCCCAGAACCACTTCGACAAGGGCGCACAATACTAATATATAAGGGGAAAGGTGATGTAAACAAAATCCCTTCCTGGAGACCCATCACCATTTATTCTATTGTGCGCCGAATCATAGAGAAGGTTCTGGACCACGAATTAAGAAAACAGGTCACCTTCCACAGGAATCAGAGAGGCTTTATAAAAGGCCTCCCGGGAACGCACGTCAACGCAAGGATTATCGACGCTGTATTGAAAGATGCAAAGATTATGAAAAAAGATTGTGCGGTGGTATTCCTTGACGTTGTCGGTGCTTTTGACAATGTTGGCCACAATCATATCGTGAGCTCCTTGGAAGCAAGAGGTGTGTCGCCGGATCTTCAACACGTTATATCGGCTCTCCTCTGCACGAACACAATCAAAATTAGTAACGGTGTTCACGCAACTAGCCAAATCAAAGTGCTGCGCGGGGTACCCCAAGGCGGCCCCTTGTCGTCGTCGCTCTTCAACCTGGCCATTGACCATCTCTATCGCGACCTGTGCGATGAAGAATTTTCCAAAAAATTTGGATACAAGTTAAAAAGTGACCAAGGTTGTGTGGTCCTCACAGGTTTCGCGGATGACCAGGCCGTGTCAGCGCGTGACAAGGGGGCTGCAGAAAGAGTGATCGGCAGCGTTCAGAGGACATTTGAGGGAATTGGTTTGGCTATTAATCCTCAAAAAAGCGTGGGCATCGTTCTAAATAAAGGAGAGCTGGAAACCGCGATGCTCTCCCTTGAGAACGGAGAGTACATCCAAACAATGCAGAATGGAGATACAATCAAGTATTTAGGATGTACATTCTCGGGAGAGCTACAGTTCAACGAAGATTCGGTGACCAAATTGAACGAAAACCTGAATAAACTGGTAACCTCTCCCTTGCTGAAGCCGGAGCAGAAGCTAAACATTGTCAACCAATATCTGTTCCCGGGTCTTACTTACCCTCTCCAAACTGCGCCCCTCACAAAGCTGCGTCCTGCCGTACTTGACGGCATCGACACCATGATTCGCAGGAGTGTGAAGGCTATTGTTGGACTCCCTGCGAACACCTCCACGGCGATGTTGTACTCTCCCAGGAGGTATCGAGGATTAGGATTAATCCGCTGCCAATGGGAGGCTCCTCTACAACATTGGTCCATTGCTCAGCGACTGTCCAATGTGCCCGATGCCCTTTTTCAGTCGATCTTTGATTATTCGGCTGAGGTTGATGAATGTGCCGAGAGATTGGGGGTTGATCGGGGTATTCGGAATATGAGAGCTCTACGGCAGTCGCTTCGAGAAAATTCGTTTGAGGAATGGACCAATTGCAGGTGGCAGGGCATTGGAGTTCGCCATTTTAAAGAGACCCCGAAAGCCAATAAATACATGTATGATAAGCAAGTACTTTCTGGGTCTGAATGGTCAAATGCCCTGAAACTAAATATTAATTATGCTCCCCTGCGTGGAGTCCCAGGTGTCAGCGGACAGGTAAGAGAAGTTGGGTCCCTCTGTCGCAAATGCGACAGAGAGCCAGAAACACCAGCACATGTGCTTGGAAAATGCCCCAACAACTCCCTCCTTATAACACGCCGTCACCACAGAGTCAAGCATGAACTGATGAGGCTCCTTGAAGAGAGAGAATACGCCTGTTTCGAGGAAGTATATTGTATAGATACGGATGGATCCACCCGATATGCCGACATTGTAGCATTCCCTAAGACGGGAAAGTCGGCGATGATTTTGGATCCGACCGTGAGATATGAGACCAACGACCTCGATCAGGCAGAAAAAGTGGAAAGGGAGAAAAAACAGATATATGAGAAATGCATCCCTTTCCTTAGTGAAAAGTTCCGCGAGAGTTTCGGGCCGAGAGAGTTCCACGTGAGAGGCCTTTGGTTCGGAGCTCGCGGAACGATACCAGACTCAACAAGGAGCTTCATGGAGGGCCTTGGTGTCGACATAAAGGACGTGGCAAGGTTGGCAGAGAGTATAATCCTCGACTCCCTGGGAATCATCCACCACCATGTGCATGGGAGCGGATAGGGGGAGAGTTTGCTCGCGGGGGGGAGGCATGCGTGTGTTACAGCATTTTTTATATTATTATTTATTGAACACGTCCACTGTACTTTATGTATTTTTTATGTATTAGGTTAGAAAGAGAGAGGAGAGAATGTGAGTGGGAACATGTATAGGGGGAGAGAAGGAAGAGAAAGGGTACAGAATGATAATAAATGAATGAAAGAAATAGTAAAAATTATAAAAAAAAAAGGAAAAAAAAAAAATATATATATACGTATAAAATATTGTATACTATGCTCATACATATTGTTAATCCTATAATTGTATAATAATTTTAAATAATGTCTGTAGTGATTAATAAGTATGCTGTGTTGTTAGCAACCCAATGTAATTGGGCAGCACCATTTTATTTTATTTTATGATAATAAAGTGATTCTCTCTCTCTAGCTATTATTAAAAAAACAAAATCAAACAATAATCACTTCTGAAAAGTTAAATCCAATTATTAAACTAATAAAAGCAAACATAATTAAGATTAAAATTAAAAAAATAATTCTATTATTAATAAATTTCAAATTTATCCTGTTGTTTGAAGAATTATTTATTTCTATCTCTAAACAAGTTATAAGTTTAAAAAAAAAAAAATATATATATATATATATATATATATATATATATATATATATATATATATATATATATATATATATGCATTTTTACATTAATCAATGGTAATTTCTATATATTTTAGAAATAAATGATATAATGAATTCATTTATATTCTTTTTCTGTTAAGTTGTGTTTAACAATTGTTTTGAATTGATCCTTAATATAAAGTGCATTCACACGTAAGTGGCCTCTAATTGCAATATAAATACATATTAATGTATAAGTGACTAATACAGGTCTGACTACAATTTCATAAGATCAATTGATTGACTTAATATCAGTTTGAGGCTCGACTCAAAAGAAATATAGTGAAAATCTGTCGTTTAAATAGTGGGGGTTGATAAATTTACATTCTTTCTAGTCAGCCACAAAATTTATTTATTTTCTATTTGTTTGATTTTATTTTAAAAATATTTAATATCATTTGATGAGGTCAATTCCACCACATTATCCAGGTCATGAAACTAATGATCCCAGTATGTTATAACATTTTTTGTTTGTTCCATTTGCAATTCTTATTAACGATATAAAAATTAATTTTGATTTAAATTATAAATTAAATATTTTTTAAGGTGTTAATTTCAAAAATGTATTTGAAAAATAAATATTTGCGTTAGGATTCTAACTGTAGTTCCAGTGCCACAGTTTATGTAAACATTTCGTAGCTTTGTCATTTTTGTCATATTACAATGTTTTTTTGTTTTCATAAAAATATTCAAACTAACATACACAATAATTCGAAAAACCGTTCAGCAAAATATATATTAATTTAATGGTATGTTATTATAATTAAACTTGGTTTTCATAAATATTTTGGAACATTAAATTTAAACCTTTAAAATATGATATAAGATGAAAGGTGTTGCAGAAACCAAAATATTTATTTTTTTAAAACTAGGGGAGGTACTCCCTGTCCGTGGTGAATCTGTTTATGGTGGACCAGTCCACATTTTACAAATTATTCAACTGTTCATTTAATTTTACTCCTCATTATTCAAATTGTGTAAGTGTAATTTAAATTTATTCTGTAGTTCAGATTGTCTTTTTCAAAATAAAATAAATGGAACAAAACCACAGTTTGGACAAATTTTTAATTTCATTTAAATTTTTAAATGTTTAGAAACCTATATTATACATTGTGCTTTATTGCCAATTTACCTAGTTCTGCCATAAATACTGTCACAAAAGTTGAACTTTGTTTACATCCTTGGGTATTATTTAGATAAGCCTTACTTCTATCAGGTTATTTTCTTTACACATCAGGATAATAATCCCAATTAGTTTGTATTTTTCATTCGCTCAGTTAACATGCAGTGCGGTGATAAAGAAAACCGAATAACGGTAATCGCCTTACACAAAGTTGGAAAATATAGGTCAGAGATTTTCAACTCTTTGAAATCTTTGGGTATCAGCCATATGTTCGTGTAACACACTATATATTGATATAATGAGACTCTGTCTGTATGTGACAGGCCTGGACCGGGCCGTCCCCGCACTGTGAGAATGGAAAATGCAATGAGAGCAGTGGCTGCTTGAATCAGAAGAAATTCCATTCCAAAACAATAAGTCATGTCTCGGGAAATAGGAATCTCTGTTAGATCAATGTCTCGCATAATAAAAAGTGACCTTAGGATGGGTGCATTTCGAAGAATAGCAGGACAAAGGTTAATCACTTCCTTAAAAAAAATTAGAATGGATAGATGAAAAGTGCTCCTTGGCCATTACACCAATGGTTTTCATTGAAAGGTTTTATATAGCGATGAGAAATGTTTTACAATTGAAGAAAAAAATAATCGCCAAAATGATCGTGTGTACGCACACAGCTCTAAAGAAGCCCGAGAAGTCATTGGAAGAATGGAAAGAGGTCATCACCCTTCCTCAGTGATGGTTTGGTAGGGAGTTTGTTTTGATGGCACCACAAAGCACCATTTTTGTGAAAAGGAGTTAAAACAGCCACAGAAAACTATCAGGTCGATATTTTGGAACCTGTTGGAAGCCTCTAAATGATATTCTGTTTGCTGGCAGTCATTGGGTTTTCCAGCAGAATTTCGCTCTAGCTCACAATGCCAGGTCAACTCAGCAGTGGTTCCAAAAGAACATTCCAGAGTTCTTCTCTGTCTCGGATTGGCCCTCAGGAAGCCCTGATCGCAACCCACTAGATTATCGGCTTTGGTCCGAATTGAAGAGGATGGCATGCCACATAGCATACCCTAACTTGGAAAGCCTCAAATTACCTCTGATCCGAACTGTTAAGCGCTTTTGGAAAGATCTTTTTTTATAATATTTATAATATTATAATATTTTTTAAATATTATAAAAAAATTACATTTTTTTATAATATTAAACATTAATCATTTATTGATCATTTATCAATCTTGGCCTAATCATCTGCTTGCAGACTCATTAGTCTAGAAACAATACTTCCTTACAAAGTACATAACCTAAGTAAGCTTCTTCATGAGTTATAGTGGTATCTAGGATTAGTTATGAAACCCAATGAGAAGACAGTCTACAGTGCATGAATCATATGAAATATAAAACACCTTCACAATTGGTGAAAATTTTGCTGCATAAAGCTACTGAGTGAAGTAGAAAGGAAAAGTTGTGGCAGTTCGCCAACTCCACTGATACTCATATAACGACAAACCATGATATTAATTAACCGATATTAACCGATATTAACCGATGGCTTCAAATTTTTGAGTCTGTTACCTTTCTGTCTCCAAACATATTTCATACCATCTTACCCGAAAATATTGAATAAGCTTCAATCAAAACAACACATTTCTCCAGAAAAAAAGTAGTTAGCTAATATGCTCCCGAGTTATAATTGAAATATAATTGATTTTTCTTTTTTAGCATTTTGATTTCTATTTGAATAAGCCATTATTTATTATATAAAAACGCCAAAAACTAGAAAATTTATAGATAGGCTAACGATGACAGGGACTGAATATAAAGTTAAATTCCAAGGAAATATCAGTGAACCATTTCAGATCAAAACGGGACTCAGACAGCGAGACGGGTTGTCTCCAATACTATTTAACGTGGTACTCGACAAGATCATAAAGGAACTATGGAAAATCAACAATTCAGGCGCAACCCTAGGGACTAAGAACAGTAACGTCAAAATAGGATGCCTCGCATACGCAAACGACGTTGCCATTTTATCAGAAACAAAAGAAGAGGCGATTGCCCAAATAAACACTCTCTCGGAAAACAGGCTTACATATATCTTTCGAGAATACGGAATTGATGACCACGGAAGCGAATTTTAAGAAAAAAACAATTGAAACCAGATACGGAACGATTAAAGCAACTAAAATTTTTAAATACCTTGGATAAATCATATGCAGCAATGGGTCAGAGAGAGAAGGGTTTAAGGAAAGAATTGCCAAATAGAGAAATTAAGCTCACCACCAGTGATCTATATAAAAAGAAGAACTTGTCTCTAAAAGCTAGGAGGCGACATTATAACACGGTCTACGCAACAGAAACTTCTTGTCTTCCCAGCCTAGAGAGCCATCTGAAAATAGAAAGAAGAATTCTCAGAAGAATCTATGGACCTAGGAGAACACCTGAAGGATACAGGTTGAGGTCAAATGAAGAAATATATAAGGAAACAACAGATCTAGAAACTGACGCTATGGTTGGAAGGCTGGTGTTCTATGGCCATATGATGAGGATGAATCCTGAAAGACTTAACCATAAAATTTTTCAGCGCATCCACGGTCATAACAATTTAAGCGGGTATTTCAAACAGGTTAAGGATGATATGGACCAAATGGGGCAAAGAGACCAAGATTGTTTGGACAGAGATGAGTATAGGAAGGCAATCAGGGGAATAACGGTTCTTGCGGGAAAGAAGCGCTCCAAAAAAGGTGTTGTGTGGTCTGAGAAGAGAAAACGTAAGCACGCGGAGCTCATGAGGGGCATATGGGAGAAGAGGAGGCAGATGAAGAGGAAGTATTAAATTCGTGATATTCCCGTGGTCTTTAAGGCCTGTTCGTGAAAAAAAAAGAAAAAAAAAAAAAAGCTCGTATATTAGATAAAAGACAACTGTCATAACAGAATTCGTTTTTCGAATTATAAATTTTCATTATTTTTTTTTAATCGGTTAGTACGTTTTTTAAAAAGGTTTCTAATCCCTTTCACTTTTAAAAATGAATTCGAAATGTTGTTACTGTCGTAATGGCCAGTTAAATAAGTTATAAAAGTTTTTTTCCCAAAAAACTAAGTGTACAACAAATATTTTCTAACTCAGCGCATAGGCAGTCTAAAACAATCAACCAATATGTGATTATATTAGCTCATACTTTTACAAAAACATATACTTAGGTCACTGAAACATCTTCTTTGAAAATAGTATATATTATCTAAAAATATTTGTGAAGTCCTAATTTGGGCTTATACCCAGTGAGCACGCATGGTTGGCTCAATGTTGGGAAATGGTCGGCAAAGTTGGAGAACCTTTGTGGTTTTGGTCAACCAAATACCGAAATTGTGCCAACAGGTTTTTAACCTGCTAAAAATATACGGAAACGGCAGAGTTATAATACCACTATCCCCAATATACAACGTTCGGCTGACAGTTTTTTCCAACTATTAATGTAAGGAAATGGTGTTTGTTAAACTACTTACTCCGATCAGTAAACGGATTCATGATTTAATCTTTTTTTTTTGGTGGATGGAGAGGGAGAATTTTTTTTGTTACACTAGCTATCGAAAGGCATATATTATATAGAATGTCGAACAGCTCATGTGCTGTTAGCACTATCAATCAAGTTGCTGATAGCACTATCAATAACAACTAATTAAAAATATTTCCTGCACCTGGACGGGGAACGGCTAAAAACACCGGTAAGTGCACACAATTTTAAGGGAAAGGATTGATAACACATCATCGACAAATGCCATATGGTTTCATCAACAGGTAAGATGTTTCTGGTTGTAAAAAACTTGGATACTACAGGCACCAATTGAGTTTTAAATACTATTTTATTTAGAGGCACAGGCGTAGGAAATCCTACACAACAAATTTGTTTGAATTGTTACTAGTCTCCAGGACTACTAGTTTTTAGTTCCCACGTTAGAGTTTTTATGGAAAATAATTTATAGAATTTTACCCTTCTCAGGAGATTTTCTTTTTAGGATCAGGAATAAGAATCAAAAGAGTTACCACTTGCCTGGTGGATGAAACAGTTGATACATAGCATTGCTTATGACTTTTTATGTTCCTTGCTGTTGTTTTTAGTTTAATTTTTTTTGGCAACAGCTCCATTTTATCTGGGATGTCGGTTGCTTAACGGCATTTATCTATCCTTTTAATTTATATCATTCTTCTTGGAAGAGCTTTTGGAAATGGCCTAAAGTCCGGAGATAAAAACAAATCGAGGAAGTAGATCAATTCTTAGAGACGGAGGTAGGAGAGTCAAGTTATGGAGTGATCTGTCAAATGTAATGCTACATATAAATTCTGCCTCACCAAAAACAAATGCCCAATAGCTAAATTGCACATGCTTTAACAAAGCTGCGCAAAATTTGATGATTATGTCTAGAAAGAATATAAAAAATGCTATAAAATGAAAAAAAAATTGAAGCGGCGGGATACCGGGAATGGTATTTTATAGACTATATAAGTGTTGTAGCTATTTTTTAAATGCAATTGTAACCGACATTAAACTAAGTGATCCTAAATTAATCTAGTGAAAGAGAAAGATAGTTAATTGAACTATCTACAACATTATTAAGTAATACCATAAACAGACACTGATTTAAACTAAAATAAAGTAATACTAGAGCTATTTGTCAACTGGTGGGATTGAATGCCTGCTTGACCAAACCATACTCTTCCGGACCCTACAGAGAGAGTTTAAAGTAACTTTAAAATTTTACTAAGTCACTTTTTAGATCAGCAACTACTTATAGAAAGGTTGGCATATTACATTTCTCATAATTTGGAAGTTGTTTTTGTCCTCCAAGATCGTCGATCGGTCCCACTGTGCGTCGTAAGTTACCGCTAGAAAAACAAACAACCAGTTAGAAATTGGTTGCCTACGTTGGAAATGTATTTTTCACGACAACATTAAGAAACGATGGTGATATGTTGACCAGAAAACCAAAAGGTTCGATCAATGGAAGTTGGATCAACGGATCTCATTTCTCCCGTGTGATTTGTGGCACATTGAAAAACATATAACATTTTGTCAGATTTTGTTGAATCATTCGTCAAGGAATTGGTCTGTGACGGTTTCGCTCTTTAATGTTTTTTTTTTTTTTTTGTATGATTTGGAAATGTTTTCTCAGATTTATCAAAATCTTCCAGAAAACGGATACATTTGATACTTGGTTTTCATCACCTGAATAAAAGGACCACTAAAGTCTTCATATTAGTGAAAATATTTTCTAAAATTTTGTCCGATTATATTAAATAAATTACCAAGGATGAACTCTGAGAAAATATTAATCAGTTTTTTGTATGCTGCTGTCAGACATTCTGGTGCTTATAACGTGAATAATTCTGAGGTAGTTAGATAGAGGTTCTAATGGGTCTGGAAATGCACTAATGTTATTCGAATGGAAACGCAGTAATAAAATTTATTTTTTTCTTCTGTTAGAAATCTATTCTTAAAATTTATAAACTTCTTAATAAAGTGGTCCACGTAGTCTACCAAGTTTTAACTTTTTTTTTTTCCAAAGTCCCTTCAAACCTGAGCTACTATGACTATATTTTGTTTTTAATGCTAATTGTAAAGTATATGACCTCTTGAGATACAATAATGTCATGTATAAAATCGCAAAAAACAAGTACTGATTTTAACGATTTTTTATTTCTTGGCTTACTACTACTAAGGCCAAGAGGATGGCAAGGGTAAAACATTTTTAGTCATCTGTCCTCACAAAAGGCGTAGACACTAGATAATGCTTGCTCATAATATTGAGATATTATGTATTATATAGGTAATATTGAATATTTTTGTGAATGAAGTAAAGTAATCTTAATGATGTGAATGAAAACAATAAAAGTAAATTAAGTATGATAATACCTGTATATTGTGATCTACTTTTCAGTATTGGACGATGTTCAATGTGATTATCCATCGAGTTGCATTTTCCAGACACTGTAGGTTGTTCTATACAGGATATATCTAAAAAATGCACCATAAATAAAAAATATGTTTTTTAGGAAAGATCA